GCGGGGTATTTTGGGATAATAAGCTAAAGACAAATCCGGCAACGTGGGTTTGGTGTCTGACAGTAACTTTCAGTGGCTTCACTTGATTTCCCCAACTTTGACAAGTACCTAAAGTTTCACTGTTCCTTTTTTTGCTGGTAATGAGTTGATTAAAAATTCGATTTTGATTGGATGTTTATACGTTAATAAAACTATGGGGGTTGTTTTGTAATGTAAAACATTACAGGGCCCAATTTGAAAGTTTTTCTGAAAAATGCAGTATTTAAAATTAAAAATTTTCTTTTTTGGGTTCTTGGGACCTGACCTGGTGGATTATTAGGCAAAACGACGTCTCGGAGATTGGAATTTTGGATCGTCTCCCTCCTTCCTGTTTCAATCCGATTTCAGACTTCACTAACGACTTCACTTTCAAGGTGAGCTTTTTTCTTCACGCCAAGTATGGTTCTAGGGTTTCTTCTGTTTGTGTTTTCTTCTCCCTTGTTTTTTCTGCTCCCGGTTCATTGAAAAGCTGCTTTTACTTTGCGTTTTCGCCGTGGAAGATAAGACCCGGTTGACTTTATCAAATCTTCGAAGGGTTTTCGCTTTTGTTTGCTTCTCGATGTTTGTTCTTACGTTATCAAAATCGCAGATTTCCAATTGTGTAGTGAGTGACTTAGACTTAGATTTCGATGTCTGTATGCTTGAAGTTATTCGTCTCTTGCAGCTGTGGTTGTTGGATTTTGTTGCCAAGAACAGATGTGCTCTTTGGTTTTTTCTAGTTTTCATTTGTGCTCGATTTGATATCCCTAGCTTTTCCTCTGTCGACGTGAGTGAAATCTTATTTCCCCGTACTCTGAATCTGATCTTTGTTCGTTTGTCTCCGAATGAATTGGAACTTAGAGACTTAACTACTGAAGTTACCACACTGCTTAAGTTTGAAGCAAGCTAGTTCGTGTGTATCAATAACTTATCCATGGTTCAATGCCTGAAGTCCTAACTGAGAAACTTTCAATCATGGTAGAAACTTGGCTTTGGCTGAGTCAGGATCTGAGTGAGGAGAAAAAATTCAATCTTCGAGGTTGCTTCACATTGCTCTGAAGTCAAAGCCCGGTGGGCGAAATTTTTCAGTATTGAATTAACTGAATTTGCCTATAGAGAGAGAGAGTACTCTATCTTATTCTGCATTAGATCTTGGGTTTAACTTCTTGTTGCATCCCAGTTGCTTGTATACGGACTATCGAGTTACTTTGGTCAGTATTGGAGAATTATAAGCAGTACACTGACTTTGCCTTACTGAGATCATCGTTTCGTTTTTTGGTGGTCTTTCTTAATTTTTTTGCAGTAAATAGTTTTGCTTGTTATTCTTGTGTTCTCCACATTAATTGAATTTCGATATTTGGTTTTTGGGTCTTCTGTTTGGTATCCAGGTGGTTGATGGTGATGTGTAGGTGTTAGGATTGAAGAGGAAAAGGAATTTTTTTCCGTGAAAGTGAAGCTTTGGTCCTCTATTTCCAATTTACTATGCACTGTTAGCATCTTATGCATGGAATGGTGAGGAATCTCTAGCATATGTTTTCTCGTGAGGTTTGTGGCTGAACTCAGCATCTACCCTAAAGATTTTACTAATATATTTTTCATTTAGCAAACACACTGAACCACGGGGGTTTTCCTGATCAACTTGATATTTGTTGTTCTACTAAGGTATTTGCTTAGTCTCTTTGCTGATTTGTATATTCTGTAACTGGTTTTTCTATCCTGCTCTTTAAAGTCTGAACTCGATCTTGTGTAGATCTGTAGAGACCTTACGAAATCTCAGGAGTTTCCATTGTGAAAGGGGCCACGACCGGATTGTGTCTCTTCATTTTAGTAATTAGTGTAGGAAGGTGGTGAGAAAGTAATATGGCTGATACCAGTCCTAGGACTTCTGTCTCAACAGATGCTGACACGGATCATAGAGATCAAAGGGTTAGCTCATAACCTAGCTGCTACTTCCTTTTGCTTCTCCTCATTAAATGGTTAGAAAAACGAAATAACTAGTAGCTCTGTGTTAATTTTCTGCAGTTTGAGGTAGGGCAATTGGGTGTTGCAGCTTCTGATTCCAGTGACAGATCAAAGGATAAGTTGGACCAGAAGGTGGACATGTTTATCTCTGTAAATCAATAATATGTGTTTACAATTGAGCTGCCAATATATAAATTTTCTTTTCATTTTTCATTTCTTTTTATTGTGATCCACAGACGCTTCGTAGGCTTGCTCAAAACCGTGAGGCTGCAAGGAAAAGCAGATTGAGGAAGAAAGTGTGTTTTCCTGTTTGTGCTCGTTTTCAATTCTTTTATCAGTTGCTCTCTCTGGCTGCATTGCCATGGCTTTTGATACATTTCCTCAAGAGTAAATCTAGAAGCATAGCTATTTGCTGATAGTTTAAGCCTGTCACTGCTTCTCGTGTAGGCATATGTTCAGCAGCTGGAGAACAGCCGACTGAAACTGACACAACTTGAGCAAGAGTTGCAAAGAGCAAGGCAGCAGGTTCGAACTCTCTTTTTTTTTCCCAAATCTGAGCTGACTCTTTGTTGTGCTTGAATCTAGGTCTGGTTGTGTGTATCTACCTTTTCTATACACATCCGTAATTTAATGTTCTTAATTTTAGGGTATCTTCATCTCAAGCTCGGGAGACCAAGCCCATTCTACTAGTGGAAATGGTTGGTGGTTTCTTTTGCATTCTAGTCTTTACAGTATATGTTTTTTGGCTTTAGATCAACCGTAAAAGAATGCAGTGCATAGAGACTGTCGCTTGAAAATGATTTAATCTAGAGTTGATGAATTGTTGGCATCATCAATCATCATCTATGTCCTGGTTTGGTAGAGTTATGATAATATCTGGCTGGACCCAGTGATGATCAGGATATCAAGTTCACTAATGGTTGATTAGAGATTTTAAATGAAAATCACTTGGGCTTGTCCTTTCGGGGGCAATGATCATATATGCATGCTTTTCTTTTCGCAGGGGCTATGGCTTTTGATGTAGAATATTCTCGGTGGCAGGAAGAGAAGAACAGGCAAATGAACGAGCTGAGGTCCGCTTTGAATGCTCATGCGAGTGATGCTGAGCTTCGGATAATCGTTGATGGAGTGATGGCTCATTACGAGGAGCTTTTCAGAATAAAGAGCAATGCCTCTAAGAATGACGTCTTTCATTTACTATCCGGCTTGTGGAAAACACCTGCAGAGAGATGTTTCTTATGGCTCGGTGGCTTCCGTTCATCCGAACTTCTCAAGGTGACAATCCGTAAACCGTTCCTCAATTTTTTTGTGAACTTACAAGTTCAGTTGATCTATTGGACAGTGTTTCCAGTGCCACAAATGATTTTTCAATAGCGATTTTGACCAAAAAAATCCAACTATGACGATCATGGTTTACAACAGCTTGTCGCGAATCAGTTGGAGCCATTGACAGAACAACAGTCCATAGGCATAATTAACTTGCAGCAGTCATCCCAGCAGGCTGAAGATGCATTGTCTCAAGGGATGGAAGCCCTTCAACAGTCACTTGCCGAGACTTTATCAAACGGAACTCTTGGATCTTCAGGTTCATCAGGAAATGTCGCAAACTACATGGGCCAAATGGCAATGGCAATGGGGAAATTAGGAACACTAGAAGGATTTATCCGCCAGGTACATTGCAAATTCAGTTGCTCTTGATCGATTCTAAAGTATCGGTTTCGTTCTTTGCCCTTTTGCGGGTTTTAGAGAACACCTCGTGGATTTCATCAAGTATCTCTTGGATTTTTCATCACAGGCTGACAATTTGCGGCTACAGACGCTGCAACAGATGCTAAGAATATTAACGACCCGTCAATCAGCTCGTGCTCTTCAAGCAATACATGAATATTTCTCACGCTTACGTGCTCTTAGCTCGTTATGGCTTGCCCGGCCAAGGGAATGACCCGGAGAAAAGCTTTTTTTAGTTCTACAAAGCCCTTTGGGAGTTTCAGCTTTGGATCTCAGAATATGATCGAAGATGATATGCTCAAACACAGAAATAGAAGTAAGTGGTCGGTTGTTTAAATCTGATCTGATGTATTGAGTTTGTGTTGTGTCTTGTAATGTTTAGTAATGACTAGATAGACTAACCGTTCCGTTCATATCTCTCTTTGATTGTTGAAGCTAATGGTCATATCATTGTATTGTTTACTTCAGATGCTGTTGGTGTAAACCAACTTTGTCACAGATTAATCTTAGGGAAGTTGGCTTTTGTACAATTCAAAGTAGTTTCTCTCTCTCTCTCTCTCTCTCTCTCTCTCTCTCTCTGTCGACAGTTTTCCGTTCATATCTCTCTTTGATTGTTGAAGCTAATGGTCATATCATTGTATTGTTTACTTCAGATGCTGTTGGTGTAAACCAACTTTGTCACAGATTAATCTTAGGGAAGTTGGCTTTTGTACAATTCAAAGTAGTTTCTCTCTCTCTCTCTCTCTCTCTCTCTCTCTCTCTCTCTCTCTCTCTCTCTGCTCTAATGGGTTCAAGATCGAAGTATCAGGCTTTTATCTAATTTACCTTGACGTTCTACAACTACAGAAGATGATCTCCTTGTCAGATCCAAGTCCTCCATTGATGACCCGGAAAGAGCTCTCTTTTTGAGTTGGGCAAGCAAACACTCGTTCTTTTCCTCTCTTCACCGATTGCAGCTGGACAGACATCACATGTTGTCAGAACGCCATCTCTCTCTGTCTCTTTCCTAAAAGAGAATCTTCAAAAGTCTGAATCTTTCCGGTGAAGAAATCTCCTGACTCCATTTTGTCAGCTCTCTTGACCTTTCTGACAACTTCGTCGTCGATCAGCCAATTCCACTTTCGTTTGTCCTCAGTGTCTAACGTTGGATTGCAGCCGACAAAACTAAAGACTGGAGAGTTCAGTCGCTGTCTGCGGAAAAGGATCAAAACAAGTTCGTTAACTAATTCATGTTTTGTTTGGGCATATGATCTTTATAAGATATTCATATTTAAATTATTTTAACCAATAAGTGTTTTATTGTAAATAATTTTTTATGGTTAACAAACTAATATTTTTTATCTAAAATATTTCTCAAGAACAAAAGTGTTAAGGCTCGAGGGGGATCATGTTCTTTGCCTGGTTGGTTGGGTATCGTTGCTCGTTGGAGATAAAATCTGTCATTAAATCATATGCAGAAGACTCTCTCTCTATCTCTCTCTATTTTCGTCGACAATGGAGAGATACGTCGAGAAGCTTCTGTACAGGGTTTCAATGGCGTTCATAATCATAGGAACATCGATAATGGTGGTTTTGATCCTTCAGACACCGAAGACATGCGTCCCTCCAAATGCTCCATTGAAGCCCCACACCCATTTCCCCAGATCCACCTGCGATTCATCTCCGCGCCAACATCTCCCTCTCCCCAAGAAGAACTCTCGTCTCTGGTCCTCTAGGGCTTGGCAATCGCGTCTCTCCTCCTTCTCCTCCTTCTTCCTCCATTTTCACCACCTGGGTCTCCTCCATAACCACTCCAAAGCCCTCTGCGTCTCCGCCGGCGCCGGACACGCCGCCATGGCTTTGACCCACCTCGGTCTCTCTGACGTCACCGCCGTCGAATTGGTTGATTCGCCTCCTCTCGTCAACAGAGCCGATCCTCACAACCTCCCTTTCTTCGACGATGTCTTCGACTTCGCCTTCACCGCCCACCTCGACGAGGCTCTGTTTCCGCGGAGATTCGCGGCGGAGATGGAGCGGACGGTGCGGCGTGGCGGGCTTTGCGTGGTTGCGGTGGATGAGTGCGGTGGCGAAGATGTTAGGGACATTGCCGGGTTATTCTCCAATTCCAAGCTTGTCAATGTCGTTAATGTGACCTTGGAAGGATCAAGAAGAACAAGTGTCTTGTTTCAAATTCAAGGCTCTGCGTCATAAGGTCTTTGTCTTATTCATTGTCTCTTTGGATTGCTTCGATTCAAAGTTCCTTTTTTTATTGACATTGTCTGAATCATGGGCATATTGTTGAGAATTTGACCATGTAGTGTACTTCTTGTCTTTTGTGTTGCTAAGTCAAACCTTTGAATTGCAGAGTACTCCATGTCTTTTGCTACGAATTTGACTGTGTTTATTCAGGAACTCGAGTTACAATAGAGACACTGCGTTCAACTCCTTGCTTTCTTCTGAATGCTACAGTGATGTCTATGACTACAATGTTATTGCAGAGTACTCCATGTCTTCGACTTCGCTTTCGGGTTTTAACGTGAATACCATCTCTTGGATCTGGGTTCAGGTGAAAGGATCCTGGATTCTTAAGACAAGACCGTGGATAAAAAAAGAGGAGGAGAAAGGAAAAACAGATGGTGGTTTCGTGTTCATCCTTGATATACATACTGCCCATAAACTTTTAGCTGTATACATTGCCTTGGCAGCTAATGAGATGGTGATTTGTGTGAGTTCAGTTCTTTCAAAGAATGAAAGCTTACGGCTTTTCGTGATTTCTGATTCTGAGCTTCTAGAACTGTTTCCCAAGATGAGGTTCTCTTTTCTTAAGATATTTTCCATAGATGAGCTGTTGCTTTAACCTGACTGTACTTAGCCTTATTAGTTGACGGAAGTTGTGTGTTGAAAAATCGAAGATAGAGAGGGATTGCATTTGGATCCTGTAATTGTTAAGCCAAAGAGAAGATCATCTTCATCAGCATGTATTGTGATGGTCACGAAAAGCTTTATTCATATCACTAGGCGCTTGCCTTCTTTTTCGTCACTCTATAGATTTCGGGTTCGATATATATTCGTTTCAGAAAAAAACCCTTTTCTGGAGTGGATCAGTAGAATTCATCCTTTTTTGTGGCAAATTCATACAGCTTTGGGAGCTTTGTACATCTCCATGGAAATGTTTAACTCACTTATTCTTCCATGAAACAAATGGTACTTGCTTCTTTGCCATGTTCTTCTCTTCATGTCTCCCTGCTCCTGGTACCTCATTTTTCACCTTTTTTTCCTCAAGAATCTTGTCTTCGTTTGCTGTTGTATTCTCCAGGTATGGCAGAAGCAAAGTCAGCAAAGATGAAGATGCAATCTCGTGACTGGAAAAAAGAAGAAGCACAAGGCTTTACAAAGTTGCAGCTTTCTTTGGTTAAACCGATGCATTATGCAGAGGTAAAACAAGAGTATCAGAAATCCCGTGAATTACAAAGGTTGCGGAAGAGAACATATCTGGAGCGACAATTTGAACTCCGGAAACCATCACTACTTGAGAGGAATTCACATATGTTTTGGCGATTTCGATTTCTCGGTTAGGAGCCAGTGTCTTGACTGACACTTTATCGGGCATGGAAGTGAGGTCTTTACTCATAAGCCGGTGACCTATGATATGATTCCTCACAATGTTGTATAGCAATGGAGAAGCAGAAGACAACGAGGCCAAGTTTGGTGGGGCAAGAACAGTTATAGCGGTCAGATTCTTGTGGTCTCGAAGAATCCAATCAAGAACAGAGTGCAAGCCTATAGCAAATGGCACAAAGCCTCTCGAGCTTAGCAGGTGAATGATCCGAACCCATTCTATCTCGCTTTCCTTCATGGGTCTGTTGATATCAGAACTCGAGATTGACCGGGAACGGCACACGGGTAATTGGATCCGATCCAAACCCAGGCTAAAATTCTGAGTACCGAGAGGAAAGAATGGCCCAAGAACACCATGTATAACCAACGACTCTCCAAGAAAGATGTCGGGCTGCGAGACAAGAACGCGATTCACCTCCACAATTCTCGCTTCCGTATCGATCCTTGATATCAAGACAGGCTTCGCGGGAAGAAGGGTGGGAAGACAGATACCTTGAGGCTTCTCAAGAAGATCGGAAAGCGAGAGCCTGACAGGGAGAGTGTGGTACCGGAAGAGCTGCTTCAGGGCCCATGGAGGAAGAGAAGTGTTGAACAAAGCAGAGTCTTGGATGGCAAAGACGGTAGAATTTGGGGAAGAGAGGAAGATTTCGGGCGAGATATGGAGGAGAGCGGCCACGGCCTTGAAGTTGGAATGGTGAAGAACGCTCAAGGCATCCAACGAGAGAGGATGGCCGATGGGTTTGTTCGGTTCGGCTGTGTCACGGCCGGAATGTGAACGTAAGGTTGTGGAGACAGCCATGAGAGCTAAAGCTACTGATACTGAGAAGTAGACAGGAGCTTGCCACCAATCCGATGAACAACAAGCCATTGTTTCGAACACCCAAATCGAACATCCGAGAGATCCAGAAGAAGAAGAAGAAGAAGAAGAGAAATGAACGTCGTTGAAAGATTAGAGGAATTGTGAAGGTTTCTTGTTGATTTTCTTCGTGCAAAGAAATGTTTTCTTGAAGTTAATACGTTTGGAACAAATGACTCGTGAAAATAAACAAAGAAATCCTCATAATCTTTTTGAAACCTAAACCAAAAATAATGTACGTAGATTACATTTTTTCTTTTCTATTTTAAGAGGTAAATTAAAATTTGTATTGGTATTTATTTATTATATTTTAATTTCGGAAATTGAACAACCAAATATCTAAATATACAAAACACTAAGTTGCATTTTAAGAACTTGTGGTTCATTAGATGTTAAAGAACTTCATACAACACTTGACATGCAACATTCACATCCTTCGAATCATAGTACCTAGAAGTTATAGTTACTAGTTAGGTTGTTTTCGGAGTTCAATTTTCTTTTTAAAAAAACTGTACCTATCATTTTTTATGTCGAATTTCTTTAAAAAAAATGTTCACTATTATTGTTATATTTGGTTGTTTAAGAAAAAAAATACATCCAATAAGGTTTTTATATCAAATTCAGATATAACTAAAATTACATTCCATCGGGTATAGAAGGAACAAAAGCATCATATGAATGAATATTGTGATAAATGGACTGCGATTAGATTGAAATTCTCAAACTTTATTTCAGAAAATTGTTGTAATGTTCCTCAGCTAAAAGGGCAAGAGAAGCCCTGAAAATAGTTTCATATAGAAACCAAATCCAAAACTTTCAATATTTACCAAAATACCCATATTGCCCATTTCCTTACCCTGCTACCAAATCATTAGACATATTCATCCATGTTTGCGTTATAAAACAACAATCCCAAATGCAATGCTGCAACAGGTTATGGAATTCCTTACTACCCCTTAACCAAATCACACTGGACAGCCCACCTTGTTCTGTCATAAGAACACACTGCTTTAATACATATATAGAGCAATGTGAACTTTCAGATGCTAACCACAAAGAATCCATGCTCACAATGAATACCATTCTTAGTTAACCAAAACCCTAATCCCAAGTAAGTGGCTTTCTGAAAAGTTTACGAAATTTGGGTAATCAGCCTCCTCCTAGCCCTCCTACCGACGTGATGAAACGGTATTCTTCCCCGAGAAACCGCACTACCATGCTAAATCATTCTTTCAGAGCGATCGATTCTCTAGAGAATCTAAGTTCTAAAAGGCCCCTAATGAAATCGTTCATTACCATATTCTTCTGCGTAGCAAGCGACATAGTGACTGAAGAAATCCGAATGCAGATTATGCGAAAACGCACATAAGGGAACGTTCACTGTTCAGTGGAGTTCACTATGTTCAATTACTTCTCCAGCAAAAGCTTCTTCTCTATTGCTAAGCACTCAAAACTCCACACTGGTCATAAGAGTAAGAGTTTGATCAGCGTGATTGAAATCCTATGAAACCTACCAGATCCATGAATTTAGATGCATAATGCATCCATTGCTCTAAAAAATAATCCAAAACAGCTTCATTCTGTAACGAAGCAGATCACCGGAGCAGGAATTTGATCAAGTCCATAATCTCCGACAGAGTCTCAGATGAGCGGTAGAACTTGGGAAGCAACCACAGCTCCATTGTTTCAACAATGAACTCGGAAATTATTTTAACAACAAACCACATGAACAGAGTACAGGAACTTATCCCCATGGTTCATGTTCATCGTTATCTCATAAATTGAAACCGTAATGCCCAAAAAGTTCTCCAAATCCAGGAAAAATGGGAAATGAAAAGTGAAGCAAATTCCGGACCAACCTTTGATCAGAAGCGCAGCGGAGAAGAAGACTGACAACTCGTTAGATCAATCAGACGATTTCTCCATCTCGAGTCGCTGTAGAGCTTTCTGGTGAGCCCAAGTCTCGATCGAGAGATCAGGCTTGGCGTTAAGCCCGACGCCGAGGATGACGATGGTGAGAAAGCTGGTGATGTAGCACGGAAGCTCCCAATCCTCCCACTTCCGCGACTGACCCGGCGGCGGTGGAGGCCGATTGAAAAGGAAACCCTTCGGCCGCTCCTCATGCCCCGCCGTCGTCCATCGTCCGGCTCCGGAAGCGGTCGATCCCGATCTCGAGATAACCTGTTGCCGGAAATTTCTCGCACCGGCGGCGAAGAGTGTGGGGGCTCTCATGGCGCTTTGGGTTCGAGATTCGTTCTTCGAACGATCAGATTCACAGGGAGGGAGCCTTTGGGGAAGGATCGATACGCTAGAGGAGTGGGGTTCACCGAAACGACGTCGCTTAAAGTATCCGGTTTAATTTCGGTTGAACTTTGGTTTTGCTAGACCCTGATTGAACCGGATGGAAAAGTCTACGAGATCAACCGGTTCTGATTCGATTCAATTTCGGTTCATTTTGAAACACTGTACAGATTTTTTTTTAAAAAAATCAGTTTGATACGGTCCACTTTCAAATTTTGTCAAACGAAAGACTAATTTCCTTTTCATATTGGTTTTCCGGTTTTCTCTTATTACGTTATGCATCAATCGGTTCTCCGGCAATTCCGGTTTCAGAAAAATGTTACCAAGCTAAACCAAAAGTAGATTTCGGTTCAATTTTCCAACCTTTATACAATCTTTCAAGAGCCACTAATGATCACCACAAAGATGGGATAACCTGTGAGTTCACCAGTAATCTCCACAAGAACAAGTTCCTCCCACAATTTGGTGGAACCGATTCTTATCCCTCAAGCAAACTTCCCTGCCGAAAACCCTCGAAAAGATCTTTGCGAAATCGTGACAATCGACGCATACTCGGAGATTCTTGAACACCCGAATAGGGAAACCCTCGGGAATGGCGATCAACCCGAAGGTCAGGGCAAGCTTCTCGCTGTGTCCGAGCAGCATATTCTCCTTCTGCTCCTCATCCACGTCCTGTAATACACAGCTTAGATCCGGAACATAACCCTCTTGCTTCAATTCCTTCGTTATCTCCCTCAGCTTATCGAGAATCTCGTCCCTTCTCGGATGAGCACGGTCATTCGCGTGGAAATAATGTGTGATTCGCTCATGTTGGATCCAGCTTCTTCCCGGTTCTTTCATCCCGGCTTTCTTCCTCATCAATGCCCTCACTTTTCTCGTCTCTTCCCATCTTCCCGCGGATGCATACAGGTTGGAAAGGACAACGTAATTCCCGGAGTTTTCCGGCTCGATCTCGAGGAGTTTTCGGCCTACAAGTTCCCCAATGTCGAGATTTGAGTGAACTCTACAAGCGGATAGAAGGGAATGCAAGATGGCTCCACTGGGTTCAAGGGGCATTTCCTCGACGAATTCAAATGCCTCGTTTATCCGACCAGCTCGGCCGAGCATGTCGACAACGCAACCGTAATGCTCAGATTCGGGCTTAACCCCGTAATTCCCGTTTCTCATCTCATCAAATATTTGTAAACCTGTGTCTTCGATCCTACTGCCATGGCTGCAACCCCATAAAACTGCCAAAAGGGTAACTCCGTCCGGCTTCACTCTGTTGTCATTCTTCATCAATTCGAATAAATCAATAGCTTCTCTTCCCAAACCATGCTTACTATATCCAACAAGCATTGCATTCCATGAAATGACTGTCCTCTCGGGCATTTCATCGAAAACCCGCCTCGCATATGAGAGGTTTCCACATTTCGAGTACATATCGATCAATGAGTTCTGAAGAACTGCGTAGAACGGAAGTTCACATCTCAGGACATGACAGTGAACTTGCCTTCCATGGTCTAACAAAGCAAGTCCAGATAACGCTGTTAGAACACTAGCGTAGGTGACATAGTTCGTCTTCATTCCTTCATTCTGCAACTTTCGGAACATTTCTATTGCCTCTTCGTCAAGACCGAGTTGGGCATAGCCCGAAATTATGGCAGTACACGAAACGACATCCCTCTCGGGCAGGCACTCGAAAATCTGGAGAGCTTCCACGATTCTTCCGGCTTTCGCATACATGTCAAGGAGAGAGCTCCCCACGAAAACGTGAGAATCGAAACTTTTCTTGATTATGAGAGCATGAATTTGGGTTCCCAGAGTCAATCCAGAAGCACCAGCGCAAGAGGTAAGAACAGTGGTGAAAGTATACTCATTCGGCTCTCCATCTGCAACAACGTCGAGCATATTCCTCGTCCTTCAACATACTAATGCACAATCACAGAATTCAGAACAAAGATCGATAACCCAAAACCCAAAAATACCTGATTTCGACATCTCTGAAAAAAGATTGAGAGCATCAGAAGAACATCCTCTCTGAGAATAAGCCGAGATCATCGCAGTCCACGATACAACATTTTTCTCAGGCATTTCATCGAACACCTTCCTTGCATCACACAAAGATTCACACTTTACGTAGAAGACGATCAAACGAGTCCGGAGATAAACTGGGGGAAGATAACGTGTTTTGATCATGTGGGCATGAACTCTCCGACCTTCCCTGAGAGCCCTTTTGCTCAAGCACGCATTCAACAAAGCATCGTAGGCTTGAAACCGCATCTCGAGCCCTAGAACCGCCATTTCCAGCAAAGCTTCTCGTAAGCGACCATCGGAGCATAAGGATTTGAGAAGTTCGGGGATTGGCGAGGAGGATTGGAGGGCATTGTTGCGAGGTGAAAACGAAAGCAATGACGACGACGACGATGATGATGATACGTGAAGTCGTCCGAGATGATGATGAAGCCTCGAGTTAAGCTGACGAACTGGGCTCCTCATAATGCTGTCTTGTAATGCTTACACATATTATTGCGTATTATCAAAATCCAGGTTTTAAGAATGCTACTGCATTTGCTCTGTAGAACACCGAATTTGTGAAATTATATGGCACAAAGTAAGATATACTTTATTAAAAATCGGGACAATTTTTTGAACCAAATAAATATTAAAAAATAATTAAAAACGTATAAAACCAAAAATCTTTTAATAAATATTTTTAATAAAAACTAAGCGATCTTCATGATTGTAATGACACTCGGTATATATACACTGATATCCATGCCAAATAACAACGGCTCTGATCAACGTTTCATGGGACAATTAGCGTGATCCATGTTACAGAGGATCTTTTCCGCACCAGAAAGCAGTTAATGGGGCCCGCATTGGCCGTTAATCCGTCAGATTCATCTCCCCTCTCGCTCGCGCGCGTACCTCACCAATCTCTATCGTCTTCGTTCCTGCAAACCCTAACCCTAATCTCTTCGATTCCCAAAAGTTTTCCTTTCTCCGATCATCAATGTCCCTTCACGAATCGTAGATTTGCTGCAAATCGTTGTTTTGGTTTCTCGTACATGTTCGATTCGATGGTTCTGTATCTGAACGTCGGAATATCTTCGCGTGGATCTGTTTGATCCAGGAGAATTCGGATCTGGGTGTTTGATTTTTTCGTCGAAGGGTTTGTGAAAAATGTCGAATTTGTATGGAGATTACAACCAGAAGATCGATTACGTGTTCAAAGTCGTGTTGATCGGTGATTCAGCTGTCGGGAAAACTCAGTTGCTCGCTCGTTTCGCGAGGAACGAGTTCAGCATCGATTCCAAAGCCACCATCGGGGTCGAATTCCAGACGAAAACGCTCGTGATCGATAACAAGACGGTGAAAGCTCAGATTTGGGACACGGCTGGGCAAGAAAGGTTTGGTTCTGACCCATTTTTACTCCCCTTACGAATTTGAAATCATGGGCTGAAAAAAACACAAATCATTCATTCTCTGGAGGAATCGGGCTTCGATGTTTCATGGAATCTAAGAGTTCTTCTGAGCCTAAACTTAATAGGGTAACATTTCGATATCTATTGGGATACATTTTCTAATTGTCTGAAGTGGGGTTCTCATTGTTTAGAAATTTCCTGCAAATTTAAGGAATTGAATCCCTAAACTTTGCGAAACCCGTTTATACGAAAATTGGTAGGAGTATGTTATCAAACAGATTCCATATCTGCATGACGTTTCCGGTGGTATTTTCTTGCGGCCAGCTCGTTTTTCTTCTGTTCATATCCATTTCTGTTCAGCTCGAGGCAGGCATTGTTATGTATGTTGTTTCCATGCTATGATGACATGTTAAGATCTCCATCATATGTCATCAATGGTTGCATTCCCCTTTTTTTCTTCTCGTCAACAGATACCGGGCAGTGACGAGCGCATACTACCGAGGAGCTGTAGGGGCGATGCTAGTGTATGACATGACAAAGCGTCAATCCTTTGATCACATGGCGAAATGGCTGGAAGAACTGAGAGGGCATGCCGACAAAAACATAGTCATTATGCTTATCGGGAACAAGTGCGACCTCGGGAGCCTAAGGGCAGTGCCGACCGAGGACGCTCAGGAATTTGCGCAGAGAGAGAACTTGTTCTTCATGGAGACATCCGCCCTCGAGGCCACCAACGTCGAGACGACGTTTCTGACAATCTTGACGGAGATATACCGTATAATCAGCAAGAAACCGCTGGCAGCTGATGACGAACCAGGTGGAAGCTCGTCAAGTCTCTTGAAGGGGACTAGAATTATCATTCAGGGAGAGCAAAGGACGGAAAAGAGAGGTGGTGGCTGCTGTGGTGGCAGCTCGTAATCTATATATATACCTGAAAACATACCTTTTTTTTTTTTTTGCTGTATTTTTTCATGTTGTTTTTGTTCATCGATCACTATATAACTGATTCTTGAGATACATACATGTAGGCCATTTGTTGTCTCGGAAATTTAACAATGAAAGGAATTAGGAAAACCCCTTACAATGCTAAAGAAAGCAATCCTTAGTTAAATAATATATCTAAACCCATCCCATAGTCACATGCTAAAAAATTGTAACATTCATATACATAGACATAAATTTTTATATAGAAATTGTATTTTTAATTCTATTTATAAAGAGTCAAAATTATCATATAACTAAGTTTGAGTGGTTTAATAAAAAAAAAATTGTAAGCTTTTACATTGGATTCAAATTTAATGTAGAAAAAGTAATTTATTTGGATTTCTTCGATATTTTAAGAAATATAGTTGGATCAAAATTATTATAAACTTCTAAATTATCAAACAAAAAAAAGCATTTATTATTTGCAGGTTAGTTCAAATTTTATGTTATAAAACACTACAAATCTAACATAAATTCTAGTAACAAAATTAAGAGTAGAAATCATCTTGTCCAAATTTTATTTTATAAAACACTAAAATTCTAACATAAATCTAATAACAAAAATTGAATTCTTAACACAACAAATGTATTTGTATTATTGATGCATTGCTTTTGAGTGGGTTTATGACTAAATGGAGGAGTCCAAGTTGGATGAAAGTGAAGATGCACCGAATCATGTCGATGACTTTTCAAGTCCAAATGGACCGTGTGGGGTCATTTTAAATCCATTTTGTCAATATAATAATTTCTCCTAAAATTCATAGTCTGAAATATCAGTCATATATAAATTTAATTGTTAACTTTTATTATAATTTTTTTTAAAATTACAAACAACTAAAGAAAGGCTCGATCTCGACCGGTCTTATAATTACTTCAAGTGAGCGACCAATCAATAAACAACGACGATGAAGCTTCTCTTCTTCTCTATCTTCTTCTTCTTCGTCTCTCCATCTGCATCCTGCAACCCAAATGACAAAAAAGCCCTCCTTCAAATCAAGAAATCCCTAAACTACCCTCAAATCCTCCATACCTGGGATCCCAAAACCGACTGCTGTACCAACTGGACCGGCGTGGAATGCACGCGCCGCCGCGTCACCTCCCTCCTAATCCAAGCCGGCGAAGTCTCCGGTGAGATCCCGCCGGAGATCGGAGACCTCCCTTTTCTCCGCTACCTTGACTTCAACAATCTCGACGACTTAACCGGAAACATTCCGCGCACAATAACCAAGCTCAAATACCTCGATACCCTCCGGTTTAGGGGAACCAAACTCTCCGGTTCGGTTCCGGATTTCATCAGCGAGCTTAAGGAAGTCACCTTCTTGGATCTTTCCTTTAACGAGTTCAGTGGTTCGATTCCCGGTTCGTTGTCCAAGATGCCGAAGCTTCAGGCGGGTCATTATCGAGGAGACTGAAATCAAAATGCAATAAATTGTTGTAATGAAGGAATACCACGCCATTTAACAACCAGAGTTACCACGGTTGTCTCGAGGGGAAGAAAAAGAAACCTTCCAATAGAGGCAATCCTAGGAACAATGTTGGCTGCAAAATGCTGAGAAAAATGATGTCTACCAGCAAGAATTT